TTACATTGTTCCAATTCTTTCTTTAATTTCTCATATTTAGTTTCCTCCTATATATACTTGGGATTGTAGGGGGGAGGTAATAATTTCTTAGTTTCCTCTGCCTCTTCTTCTTCTAAGACCATCAATGATCTTTTAATTACCCCCTCTTTATTTTTACTAGAGGGAGGCCATTTATCAGGGGTCCAAATCAGGGCATAATCCAATTCATTGTCCACTGCCCTTCGTTCTTTAGATTTTACATAATCATATAGGGCATGGCACATAAAATAATGATTAGATCCTTCCCTTGGCCAAGCGGCCCTTTCATCTTCCCACCATACAAAACAACACAAATTAACCATATCCTCCTTGTTCAAATCAAATTCTTTTATCATATATTTATAGGGAGGACTGGTCCATCCACTAAGTAGTCTGCCTAGTGGACTGTTAGGATTGATTTTTAACCTAGGATTTTTCTGAATCTTTTTAATGCATTTCTACTTGAGCTTCCTCCTCCCATAGTGATTGGTTTAACAGCCTTTTTAGTCGCACTGCGTCCATGAGGCAGTGTTTTCGAGCCCTGTCTTCCCTCTCTGTATAATATCTAGACACAAGGACAAAACTGTCTTTCCCTGCCAGTCTCCCAGCACACGCTGGCCTTTTAAAGACTGACCTGGCAAGAGAGCTTCTGCAAATTACGTCTCCTAACCCACGTTAGCCTTTTTCTCACAAAAAAATTTAAAGATGTAAACCCTCGTATCTAGACTACAGAGACCATCAGCAATCCATCACTTCGCTTCGTTCGCACCTGGCCGGTCCCCTTGCGGGAATCCGGAAATGCAAGTTTGAACACACATTCAGTTCGCACTATCCTTGGAACTCTATCAGTTCCTAAGCATGTCTCGTGCGCTTCACATAGGTCCCTAGACTCACACAAGGCCTACCCAACCACCAGACCGCCCAGGCAGTACTTTGAACCCCCTTTGGCTCGTTTCTTACCTGGGTTCATGCACGAAATTGCTTGGTCTACTTTTTCCTGGGCCACAGACTGACACCTCACCGGCCCATGCTTGACCCAAAGGACGAACTGACGCCTCACGCAGGTCCCCCTCTTTATTTTTACTGCTTCACCAACCTCTATTTTGCAGCCTCAGGTCCTCATGGGCACTGGGTCTGAGGCCAAACTCCACTAAAGGACTGCTAAAGTTTAGCAGGGCGCGCCTTCCTCCACTAGAGTGCGTCCCCAGGGCACCAGATGCCAATTGGTTATCCCGGACGAGCCCCCAATTGTACAAAACAAGGCATAACAAACTTTTTCTGGGTTGATCAGCAGTGAAATTTTATTTCAAGCTTTTGCAAAGGCTGGTGGACTCCTCAGCATCAAAGAAGGAAGCCACACCCACCTAC